AGTCATGCCAGGCACATGTCCATGTACGCCTAAAATCCCGAGAGGAGAATGGAGGGATTGTGGGTGGCCATCCCCCATGGGGGGCTGGTTTCTTTCTTTTTCTGCTGAGTACATGTGCAAAACCTAGGGGGAAAATTAATGAAATCAAATCATTCTTCTTTTAAATAATTAACTAATCAATTAAACGAGTTATTTTGGAGGGCCAGCAGGTGGCCTGGCGGTTAAGGATACTGGACTCGCAGGTCACGGACCAGGGTTTGAGCCCCAGACCTAACGGCTTTCTTCCTCACTTTCCCTTTCTGTGTCTCACTCTCGCTCTGTCCTCAGATCGAGAGGACATAAGAAAGAAAGAAAGAAAGAAAGTTAAATAAAAAGAATTATTTTAGAAAATAAATAAATAATTTTTCTTCAGTTTTTACTAGAAAGAGACACAGTGAGAAAAAGAGAAAAAGTAAGTCACCAGGTGGGACTGAAATTGCAGTCGATTATGTGGGAGTCCAGCACTTAACCACCGTGCCATCTGCTGGCCCCCAAATTAAATAATTTTTTTTTTTAAGAATTATTATAAGTTTTGTGTTTTGTTTGTTTGTTTTGGAGAAGTTTTTGCTGTGCATTCGCCAGAAGTACAGAGAGACAGAAAGCGAGAAATCACACACACACACACACACACACACACACACACCCCGGGGAGGGGGACGGCCACGCCGCAATCCCCTCTCCTCCATTCTCCTCTGGGGATCTTGGACACACACACGCACGCCCGGTGTGAGTTTAAGCCACCAGGTCCGGGACTCCAACTGCGGTCGATGACATGGGAGTCCAGTGACATAGCCATTATGTCAACTGCTGGTCCCAAGTTTATTTATTTATTAATTTTATCAGAGTCAGAGTTTGGAGAGATAGAGAAAATAAAATAAGCCACCAGGTCTGGGACTTGAACTGCGGTCGGCCATGTGGGGGAGACCAGCACCCTTAACCACCATGCTACCTGCCACCCCCAAATAAATCATTCTTTTAAAAAAATTTTTTTTAACAAAGCTGTTTCCTCATCTTTAAATGAGGTAGGAACTCGGGCTCAGGTTCAGATGTGACCCCCTCTGTTCACTTGCTGTGTAAAGGGCAAGTGTCTTCCCCTCTCTGTAATTCCTCGTCTGTGATCCCAGCGAGCAGCAGAGTCCCGGTTCTAAGGTTGTGGAGCGGGTCAGCGTGGAAACTGGAACCCAGCACCCAGAAGAGTCCCTGGGACACAGGCTTCCTGGTGAAGGCCCAGCAGCCAGGAGAGAGGCGGGACCCGCCCAGGGTCACCTACCCCGGGTCACCCCAGGGCACGCTTGTTTAAAAATGTGTCTTTTTCACAGATGGGTTTATTTAGCTACTAAGCACCTGTTCTGTGCTGGTCACTACTCTACACTCCACACAGCAGCAAACAAGTGACCAGAACCCTGCCCTTGAGCCCTCAGGGAGAGAGACAACAGATACTGTCACGGGCCAGCCAGTGGCGCGGCGGTCAAGGCGCAGGGTCCCACGTGGCCGGATGCACGGTCCCAGTCCCGGCCCCAGTGGTTTGAGAATCTTGCTGGGTGCCTGCACAAAATCCTGAGAGGAGACTGGAGGAGGGAGGATGGTGGTGTGACCTTCCCTGGGGGTGGGGTGGGGTGGGGGCTTTCTCACTTTCTCTCCCCGGAGCTCATGTACCCTCTGGCAAATTAAAAACAAAAAAACTACTGTCTGATGTCAGGCAGAGCTGCTGCTGTGCACCGTGAGTCCAGGACGAGGGGGAGAGACGCTTTTCCAGGTAGGGTAGTCAGGAAGGGCTTCTCGGAGAGGTGACGTGGAAGCAGAGATCTGAGGAGGTGAGCGCCAGGCTTGAGCCAGCACTGGTCCTGCCTCAGGTCTGACTTGTTGAAGGAGCAGCACAGAAGTGGGGAGCAGGGGGGAGGCGAGGCTGGGGCAGCATGGTGGGCTGGAATAGAGTGAGCTGCACAGGGAGGGAGTGAGGTCAGAGGGCACTGAGGTTGCACAGGGCTAGAAGAGAACTCGGCCATTGCTGCAGGAGCTCCCAAGAAGAGGAGGGACAGTCTCGCCTTGTATTTTAACTGGGTCCTTCTGCTGTCATAGGACACTGTGGCCTGGAGAGGGGCAGGACCAGCTGGGGTCACCCAGCAGCCAGGCCACCTGGGAGAGCAAAGTGCAGCCAGGGTGGGGCAGCGACAGCCCAGGGCACCTGGCCAGAGTCTGCCCTGGGCGTGGGTGGCAGGTGTGGGCGAGGCCGCAACCCTGCCCTGGCAGGGCGGCAGGAGCCAGAAACAGCCCCCGAGGCTGCACTTGTCTGGAAGTGGCACCTGGTGTTTGGGCGGGCCCACGCCGGCCCCGCTGGTTAAGACTGGCTGTGGGAGCCAGGTGGCTTCATGTCTTCACTGCCCTGAGCTCGCTGGGTGACGGTAGGCGTCACTGAACCCCGAGCTCCTCTGGGCCTCTGTTTGCAGCCCTTACCCCTCTGGAAGAGCTGCGGGGGTGGGGGGGCGAAGTGAGCGAGTCCGGAGGAAAGGCTTTGGGGTCCGACCCAGCCACAGCACCTCGAGGAGTAAAATGGGAGTTGCATGAACGTGGGGTCACCGGTTC